AGAAGAGGAAGATGCCGTCCCATTCCACACTGACATGGGTAGTAAATTCGAACTTGAAACTAAGTCGAGAGAGAATATTCGACTATGATCATTGTCGTAGCCCCAAGCCTTTGGTGACGTGTATAGTCCCACTCGATATTTCTATCTTCGTGGAATTCGGAATCATGAATGCACCTTTGCACTTCGTGCTGGTGTTTAATTCTCCTGCAGGGGTAGTTCACATCGTTTGGACGCCCCAGATCCTTCATGCGTAATTTCTTAGCATGAGTTTGAGCAATAAAGGTTCCAGATGCTCTCTGTATCCAGTAAGCAACGGAGTGTAACGGTTTTGGTTTCCTTTTTCTCGCTTGTTAAATCTAACATAGACGATGGTTGGGTCTCTTGTCTTGCGACGTTTCGAGGTGGTTGGCCACGGACGAGGTTAACGATGCTAAATAGTGTCATCAGAGTCTAGTTGAGCAGCTTCTAGGCAATCATCTATTTTGCCGTAGAGTTCATCAGTTGCAAACAATTCTTGTTTACTATGTTAGTGAGATATCTTCATCACTTTGTATGAGAATCGGAACAGGGGTTCCGTTGAGTCATCATCCTGCCTAATCCTCAGATAGAGTTTCTCCATCCAATTGATTGAAATTGATAGAGGGTTGTCCTCATTGTCAGAGTCTTCTGATTTGCGCTTGGCAACATGGTTGCGAGTTTGCAATGGTGGCACGAGTATCGTCGATCTCGTTTTTTTCGTCATTGTTGACGAGAGGAAGAATGGGTTGTTCACGCAACTGTTTCTCGAAAGTTGCGGAACGCATGCTTTCCTTGAGCCATTCTCTGGTGAAGAAATAGGTTGAGGGTAGCTGAAGCTATTGTGTTTGTTAACAAAATGCACTACGCTAAAAGCTAGTGTAAAGATCTTTCCGAGTGTTTTTGAGTTTGAGAGAATGAAAGTTATGAGAGGATTAGAAAGCTATGAAAAACTAATCAACGTAGAGAGATCTCATCAAGGGATCGTAGATCTGGCTTCCCGCGGGAGACTATAAAAGTGTGTAGAGTAGGTTGTGGTAGTAATCCTACGTCTCTCCACGATCCTAAAACGGAACGCGTGGAAGGTTTGTTAGCTGATCTAGTAGCGTGGAAGTACTTTCACGCTGGCTAAAATATCTAGAGCGATGTTTCATCATCAACTAGTATGACTAGCGCGGTATTGAAGACCCTGTCTCAAATGACTATTCACAAGAAACTCGTCATGAGTCGAACTCAACCTTATCTAGGATCGAGTCGCGAAGGCTAAGAGCCGTGTATTGCAAGTGACCACATACGGTAAAATCACAGAGACTGATCTCCTTGCCAATCGTGAACTCTCACCCAGCCTTGGACTCCACCCACAGACATCGAGGAACTCTTGATAATATCGACACCTGCATTGCTTTCTCAGTAGAAGGCGGAGATGTCATTAGTGACCGCAATGCTGTCAGCGCCGGAGTAGCCACTCTACATGCCACGGGCCTATTCATTCATCCCATCCGAGAATGGAACAAGCGTACACCAGAAAACCGCACCCTCACCCACTTCAAAGAATTCTTTCGTGATGCCGAAAATGTCCGCCAGACTGAAACCACTGTCAGCGCCGCAGGCTACCACCAACGAGCCAACGCAACTATCACGGACACCCAAACAGTTATCCACCGGGACTTCTACGCTCACCCATCCACAACTGATGACATAGCCACGATCACCAGGATCGTCCAAGAGTCACTCGAGAGTCCCAAGCAGCAAAGCAACCACCACCACCACCACCGATCGCCCAAACCGCCTCCGCTACCAGAGCCAACACCTCGATCGTTGGCCTCACGGCAGCCGAACTCGATGCCATGGAATGGTGCTGGACTCACGGTTACTGCCATAACCCAGCCCACAAACAGTGATACGTGCAACTTCCCAAAGGAGGGCCACAACATCCAGGCCACCGCTCAAAAACAAAATGGGAGGCAGCAATGAACGATACCAGCCCCGCCGCGGAAACTGATTCAGCGCGAAGCCTAACAATAACAGTCAACATAAAATAATTAAACCCACGTTCAACAAGAACAACAACGACTCGTTAGGTCCTCCCCCACCACCAATAAAAAACACCAATTACGGTGCCTTAGATAGTGCAGTCACGTCTCATTTTCTAATATGGAATGCTAGTTGTCACAACAAACGCCTCACTACCAACCCAATCACAGTCGTAGTAGCACAAGGAGCCACCATGACATCCACCCATGAAGGAGACATCACCATACCACACCTACCACATGCAGCATGCAGAGCTCATCTATTCAAAGAACTCAAACATGGCTCAGGATCTCTCATCTCGCTAGGACAGCTCTGCGATAGTGGATGCACAGCCACCTTTACCAACACCACGGTCAAGGTCTATTACAACGCACAATGCATCATCACGGGCTACCAAACACCCCAGACTGGCCTATGGCACATCCCCATAGACAACCCACCCGGTTTCCCACCGATAGATCCAATTCAACAAGCAGCTTCGGTCACCATCAAACCGACCCACAACTTTGCCAACGCAGCACACTTTGATCCCACCAAAGCCCAACAAGTAGCCTTCAGTCACGCTGAAACCTTCTGCCGAGGTTACACAGCTCCGCTGGCTTAAATTGTTGCACTATTGCTAGCTAGCAATCAGGTTGGTAATGAAATTGGAAGCTACAAGCCATTAATTGACTGGAAGAGCAATACTTCAAGGAAAGATTCCAGATACTAAACTTCAAATTCAGGGTTGGTTGAATCCTCCTTGCTGTCAAGGTTTCTCAAGAAAGTTCGCCACGGGCCATTTTCCTTTCTAGATACTACTGATCCTGCAGAGGCATAGCATCCTGGATGCAGAATGCCAGAGACATGGGTGTCTTGCAAGGTCAGTCCATTTCCATCAAAATAGTGTCCACTCAAATGGGAACTGTCCACAACCACACCTCCTTTGAAGTGTAGTTTACCATACTCATATAGTTCGTCACCAAAGTACCAGAGGTCCCCTATGAGATGAGCACCCATTAACTTTGCATAGTGGCCAAACATTGGAGTTCCGTACAGGACCTTCTCCAACAAATTGCCAACACGAAAGACCCATACAGCATTGATGTATACTCCAAAAAAACTGATGTGGGTGTTCTTTGGCAACTTGTATAGTATGCCCTCAACAGCTCTTGTCAAGAGTATCCAAATAAACCACTGTAGTACAAAAGCTGTGACCAACCCAAGCGCAGCAATGCCAGATGATGAACTGGTTGTAGCCGCAAGGCCAATCTCGTAGGAAGGTATGATGGAGGCAAAAAGAGTCACATTCAACAAAGCCTGCAGCAGCTCGTGTAGTGTGGTACTGCTACTAGGCTTGGACACATCATGGTTTGATTGGTTCAAGTCATAAACACTTTCAGACACATCTGACCTTGAAGGAATTACAGATTGCATAATCTTGACACCCGAATGAAGATTGGAATTGTAACCAACACTGCTGTTGATGATCTCAATCTTGCCACCTTGTTGCTTGCTCAAGTCTAGAGAGATGGCTGAGGCAAAAGACTTTTGGATCTTTACAAAATCAACCTTTGATGGTTGGAAATGTACATAGAGCCCATTTATGGATGATTCCAAGTCAATGTCAAGGCCATGGAGGAAGAAGATGAGGTTCCAGACTTTTGATGCACCACAGAAAGGAGCAAGAGCAAAACCAGCTGCATGGAAGTGGAAGTCACATGCCCAGTTGGTTGCACGGCGGTAGAGTGAGCCCTCGTACTCATCTGATGGGTTCCGTTTCCCAATCAGAAGCCACTTGAAGGCCAAGCTGGAGCAAAGTGCCAGGATGGAAGTGAATGGCAACAACAGGATCCAATAAAGAATACCTCCATACCGCCACGAGGGCAAGATTTGATGCAGCACAATGCTAACAACAAAGGCAAGTGTAAAAAGATGGTATGCCTCAAACATGATCCAAACCATCTTGAAGACATCCAAAATGGACTCCTCAAAAAAGCTTGATTCGTGATGAATAAATGATCCAGCATTGCATGCCGGGTTGCCCTTGGCAAGGACGCCATCAGGTACCATTGCACCCTCTTCAACAGCTGAAAGCTTTGCTACCTTGCTGCCATCCCCAATTGTGGCCCGTGGGCTCACCATACCAGAGATTTGGCTGTCATTTCCAACCACAATTGGCCAGAAAGTGATCCTTGGACTGTCTTCTGTTGACCAAGAGAATTTTCTGCACTTTAGAGGGTGACCGATACTCGTGTTGCTCCCCACCTTCACAAGGTCAAATTCACGGATATAGGACTCGATCTTGGCAGACCATGCCAAGTCAGCACCAAGAATCCAGTAGAAGATCCAAATGTACTTGGTTCCTAGAACAAGATGTCCTGCAAGGTATTCCCAAACGTCAAGAATCCTGTCAACAAACCACCACCGGATGTAATCCCAGGATAAGAGATCAAATTGTCTTGGAAGGTACTTCCCAACAACAACAACCTTGCATAAAACCACAATCAATGAGAAGGATAGGATGAAGAGAGGAAAGGTCAGGGGCATAAGGGCCCAAAATACTGGGCGGCGGCAATCTCCATCTTCAGGCGAGTCACATTGGTCCAGTACCCAAGATACTAGGAAGTAGGACGGAACAGCTGAGATCAAGACTGAGAGAAGAATCAGAGCTGACCCAATGGATTGGATAACTCCAAGCTGTACCTTGCTCAGCCTGGATCTGGATGAATTCCATTGAAAGCCTGGGTGATCATCGATGGTTTGCGTGGGAAACCTCTTCCCCTCAGATGTGACCAGAAACTCGTACAGGTCTTTTGGTGTTGCACAAAGTTGCTCAAAGTTCACTGGTATCACAATATGCAATTCCTCCTCCACTCGGTTCCTCAGCTCAGCACTCATGAGTGATGTGAGTCCATTCTCAGCCCATGATTTTGATGTTTCAACTGCATGACCAAAGACAGATGTGATGGTGTTCGCATATCTGGTGGAGAAGTCATCTGGGCCCACAGCTCCAGCAACTGCATTAAAATGCAACCTGGGGTCTGTGGTGCTTGCCTTTGCTGGCTGGCTTGCCAACCCCCACTGGTCAAACTTTTTGAGCCAATAATCTTCATCAAGAGCAAGCTGATGTTTGCTCTCTGGTGCCAGTGTTGTGTATCCGAACTTTTCTGCACAGGAGAGGTTCAGCTTCCCAAAATAATGTAGCGCTCTTCTAGACAGGATTGGTTCATTCTGAAACTTGTTAGACATCAGCTTCCTTCCCATGGCATGTGTAGTCAGGTGCAGACTAATTAACCTTGCATAGAAGAAGTGTTCATTTACATCTCCAATGATGCAGGGAAGCAGCAATTTGGACAAGAATATTGAGGATGAATTTCTGTCTCCAGCCCCTAAGCAACAAGGTAGCACAACAGTGAGATTTTACCATAACTTCCCAAGATGGAATTTTGGGAAAAGCAACTTACAGGCCACAATGTGCATATCCCAATCAATGTACAGATTATTCATAGCATTTGTATTGGATGAATGCCCCATCAAAACCTTCTTGGATTGGATTGTGGCTGTCACCACAGGATTTGTAGCAAGTCTCCGACCCACTTCTGAATTTTCCTTGTGTCCACTTTTTTGCTCAACCCAAATAGCCTCTAGCATGTTTAAGCACAGGAGCTTATTGATTCTTGCAACCTGTTCATTAATTGGGCCTTCAACAGCTGATCCCAAACTTTTCAGGACTAGGTTCAGGAGTGCACCAACTGACCTGTTCTTGATCCAAAGGAAGAATGGCAACTTCCCATACAATGGGTCTTTCTCTGGGAGGTTCAGCATCTCTTGTAGCTCTTCTGGAACTGTCTGAACATTCTGGCCCTGAGCCTCCCATGCGGCATCATCTTTCAGCTTCTCTTGAATGCTCTCAGGATGATCCATCAAGAAGGTTGTTACCCATTCCAGAACAAAGATTTGATGCACAAGTTGAGAAAGGAAACCTGTCCTGTCATCAATCAAGATCCAGTCTGGATTAGCAACGAGACTGTGAGCAAGCTGGCAGATGGTTGGGTGCTTGTCCTCAAGATGCTTCAGGATTTGGGAGCACATCGCTTGCATTGTAGCTGTTGTCTTGATGGCTGCGGACCAAGCTTCATCTATGCCAGAGACCGCAGAAAGATGAAGCTCAGAGAAACACTCATCCAACTTGCTGGGGTTGCACTCAACAGCATGAACAGCTTTGACAGCTTTGATGGGGAGGGCGTTTGTTTGGCTAAGGTCAACATCCTCAAGCTCGGGCTCACTGCCAATGTCAAGAGATCCAAATGGTAGAGTCATGGATTTTCTCCTGATTTCCCGCTGAGTTCCTTCTGACAAATAGAACTCACTGCTTGTAACCCCGCTCATTGCAAAGCTGTGCTCAAGGAAAGAGCTCTTCTTGGGGGGTGATACGTTTGCCTGTCGTTGGAATCGTAGGAGCAAATCAGATGCCTTCCAATCACCTGCAATCGTAGTCTGTCTGATCTCACTTCTCTTTAGCTTGCCAGATGTGGTCTTGGGTGTCACACCAAGCTTGAGGACAACTACCTCTGAGGCAAGCAGCCCATGTGCTTGGGAGACATGGTTTGCTATCTGAATAGCCAAATCTTCATTTGCAGCCTTGTCAAAATCTTTGCGGCCTTCGACAGTGATTCCAACACTCTCCTCCCCATGCTGGAAGGCAGTGGTCCTGCCTGGACGGATAACATCACCAAAGACATCATCAATAGAGAGCTCCACATCAGTTGGATAGTAGTTCTTTCCATTGATAATGATGACATCTTTGACCCTTCCAGTGACGTATAGCTGTTCATCCACAACCTTTCCCAAATCTCCAGTGTCAAGCCAGCTTCCATCATAGCCTGGCAAGACATTTGCAAAAGTGGATGTAGTAAGTTCAGGTTGTCCATAGTAACCAGCAGCCACCCGTGGTGACTGGGCCCAGATACTCCCAACCTGTCCCTCCTCCACCTCTTTTCCATCCTTGACAATCCGAAGCTTGAGAGTTGGGGAGTCAACTCCACCGCAGCAGACAAGCCCTTCAGAGTTAGGGTATGCAGAGCCACCTGTGAGAAACACCACAGACTCTGCAAGTCCATAGATGTTGTATACATGCTCAGGCTTGATTGAGAGGGTCTTTGCTGCTGCTTCCACAACATGGCTCTGGGCTGGTTCACCCCCAAACATGGCACGCCTTACACAACTCCAGTTGGCTTTCCTATTGGCCTGCTTCAACCTTTTGAGGAGCAAGGCATAGGCAAAGTTAGGGGCACACGTAAGGTCTGCCTGGTATTTCTCCACCATGTCAGTCCAAAGCAGTGGATTGACCACAAAATCCAGGGGCGATGCCATGACAAGATGGATACCAGCATAGAGGGAAGACATAAAACCAGCAACAAGGCCCATATCTGGAGGGAGAAAATGGACCAAAGGAGTCAGAGATAATAACATAGATTCCAGGACAACCAAACTGGATGAATTACCATGATATTGTGGAACCCACAAAGCTGCGACTGTGGAACTCAAAACTTCTGTACCTGACATGGCACTGATACCTAGAATGTTTTCTGCTAGATTGCTGTGGCTAATCATGACACCCTTAGGTCGACCAGTACTGCCAGAGGTGTACTGGATAAAGCAGATATCTTGGGGTTCTCCTACAAATTGCACATAGTCTTTGGGCTTGTTTGGGTTGCGTTTCTTGATGGGTAGCTTGTCAGTCCCAATCCATTTTACACCAGTCTTGTAGAGGATGCTGGCTGCAGTCATGGCAGTGGCAAAGGTTGCACTGGTTAGGGCATACTTGGCTCCGGCATCCTCCGCAAATCCACGGAATTTGGGCATTTCTGTTTTTAGCTGATTGGGGTTTGGTGGGTAGATAGAGCAAGGGATGACTCCAATCTTCATGGCTCCAAACATTCCAGCCAAGAACTCAAGGCCAAATGGATATGCCACCATGACACGTTCCCCCTTTTTGCATCCCAGCTTGAGGAGATGAGCCGCCACAGCACTGGATTCATCCTCCAATTGCTTGCAAGTCATCTTGCGCTGTTCCTTACACTGGTTGTCAACCCAGGTAAAGACAACCTTATCAGGAGTCACTGTGGCATGATGGTTGAGTGCTTCTAGGATGGTTGAGAAGTGCTTCATTTCTTCTTTCTTCTTCTTTGTTGTGGTGGTTTCTCCTTTCCTCTCTTTGCTGAGATGTTGTCGTCGTTCTGTTGTGATGTGAATTGTGTGCTCTCTTGGTAGTGTTGACGGGGGCTAACTTGCGGCACTCCAATGCAATTTTTACCTGACCACACAGCAAGCTTGCATGCCAAATGCCATGCCAAAACGTTTGGTGGCGAGTGACCTTGTGGCACTGCATGCTGAGCATTTTTTACCCATGGAATTATGGGATTGTCGTAGTGGTTCTTGCCAGGACTGACACTCCTGCCTAGTAATAATAGTAGCACAACGGTACTGTGAGCTGAGAACAAGTGCTCGAGTATGAAAATTAATGTAGGACGAACCTGTAAGCTTGCCTCTCTCTTGAGAGCCCCAGGTTTCAAGCTTCCCCGCCTTCCGAGTGACTGGACGACGACAGGACCACTCGAGGTATTCGAATATTCCCCATTTTAATTAAATTTGCAAGCAGAGTTTAGAAGGCATCTTTTTTGACTTTTGGAACCTCACAAATTCGATCCTGTCAGCGGGGCAACAGGGTACCGGTATGCACTGCTGGTAGTACGATGTTCAGACTTCAGAGCCACCACAATATCGATATGACATACAGTACATGTACCAGGTACATGTACTACAAAGCCACAAAGTGACCAAGAACAACTCAGTGAAAGGGAGCTTAGGGGAGTAGTACGGAAGCCGGTGGGGGCCAGGCTTATGCATAGTTAGGCAACACGACTACAGCCCTTAACCATTCAACATACTACTGAGTACTACCGAACCATTCAACCGTCTCCGCTCCTTGTTGCTGCCTGCAGGAGGTTGATCCATTGCGTCCAGCAGCAATACTGCATGTTAGGCGACCCGTAGAATGCATTTCTGCATGCCTGTTTGAAAAAAAAATTGGTCTTGACAAGACCCCATGGTGGGAGGCATACTACCGGTAGTATGGCTTTTTGCGGAGGAGTGACTCAGTCCCCGCGATGGATTGAGTCCAAGAATGCAGTAGTGAAGGTGGGTTGCAACTTGAAGCAAACGTGTTGGAGCGTAGCGGTAGGAGACACACTAAAATTGCTGACAGGCCTGACGCCTGACGCATGAACAGCCATTTTGCATGCAGAATGCAGTCACCCATCTTTTGAGTCGAGTCAGTCGGGGCCCTGGAGGGCCACTGAAGTTCCATTTGCTCGATAGACTATATAAGGGGGTTTAGAGTAGGGAAATTAGCTACGGTACGGAAGCCAGCCGGGGCCAGGCTTAAGCAAAGAACAGTCGAAATTCAGAAGTTGCGGGACGAGCGAGAGATCACAGGTTTGAAAATACGAGCTAGCTAGACTCTATAGATACGTGTAGTTGTAGAGGTTCGTTCCGTCGCGGGATTTGGATTCCGAAAGCCGTTGAAGATCGTTGGCATCTCGAGCGCGCCCAACCAGGTACCAGTTCGTAGGTAGATGCATGCGATCAATGGTTCCTTGCTCCGCCAAACAATGGCATGCAAGCGCATATGAAAAAAGATCCTTATGTTCCTTTCAAAGACAAACGAACAGATAAAGACCTGCAAAAGACACCTGCTGACAGCTACAGTACGCACAACCGATGTTTGCGTTCAGCTGTTGTCGACGACCTTTCTGATTGACTGCCGAGCAAGCAGAAGGCAACGGGGCAATATGCATGTGTGGTTGTTCATTAAAAAGTAATATGCAAGTCTGTTTCTCTTTTCCTGTCGTGTACGTCGACCCTCCTGCCAGTCGTCTCTTTTTAGCCCGCTCTTGCTTGTATGCATGTATAACACCGTATGGCACTGCCTGTTCAATGCATGATGTGTCTATGCATAAGTAAGTAACTAAAACCCGGTATCACACCCTTCGTCATCGCACATGTCCAAGGAGTTCTTGAGATCGTGGACCAGATCCTTGGCCCGTTCCAGTCCAATACTGAGACGGATCAATCCATCGTGCAGTCCCCCCGCCACTCTTTGTTCTCGCGGGATCATGGTGTGGGTCATACTGGCGGGATGTTCGCAGAGCGATTCGACGCCTCCCAAGGACACGGCCAAGTTGACGACTCGCAAGTTTTCACAAACATTACGTGCTCGTCGCAAGGCTTCTTCACCTTCTCCCGCCACAATAAAGGAAATCATACCACCATATGTCTGTGGTGGTGCCTCGTCATCGTCATCCTCCATGTCATCATCGCGGCCACTACGGAAAATCCCATCGGCCAATTCTCGATCGGGATGACTGTCCAATCCGGGATAAAAGACACTCTGTACGAGCGGATGTTCTTCTAGCATGCGTGCCACCTTGATGGCATTTTCTCCGTGTCGTTGCATTCGCACATCCAATGTCCGGAGTCCTCTCGCCAACAAGAAAGAATCCATGGGATTCAAGGGCGCCGAAATGAGTTTTTGCACTTTTGCGACTCCATGAAGGAATGGTTCACTCCGGGACGTGACGGCCCCCGCCAAGACATCGGAATGTCCACTCAAGAATTTGGTCGCGGAATGAATACTGACATCGATACCCTCAATATCGAGTACCTTTTGATGATACGGACTGGCAAATGTTCCATCGACCATGACGTAAGGACGTTTTCGTTCCGTGGGATGCATCCCCACGACATTATCGGCTTTGCCATAGAATTCATCCACCACTCCGGCCACACCGGCCAAATCGGTCAATCGCATGGTAGGATTGGCGGGTGTTTCCGTGTACACGACACGGGTATTCTCTCGAAAGGCGGCCTTGTAATTGGCCGGTCCATCTTTGCCAGCCGCATCGACAAATGTCACTTCGACGCCCCAATGTTGGGCAAAATCCGACACGAATTCGTGCGTGCCGCCATAGACCGTGTACGGGAAAATGGCGTGATCTCCGGCTCGTAGCACGGCCATGAGCGACGCGGTAATGGAGGACATTCCGGAATTAAAGAGCAGAGAAGAACCTAATCCACGGGGATCATTATCATTGTCGACACCCTCCAGTGCGGCAATTTGCAAGGCGGCGGCTTCATTGGTGGGACTCCCCCAGCGACTGTAGACGAATCCATCGTCGTCCGTGTAGGGTGCTTCTCGTTTTTCGTGGAGACGAGCACCGTGTCCGGCATCATCCAACAAAAAGGTACTGCCAAAATAAACGGGAGGCGCCAATGCCCGTTCGGCGCCAGGTTTGGAACTGTAGAGACTGGCGCATTTGGTGGCAAACGAAACGGGTTTGGCGTGGGGCGTGGGATCGCGACGAAGACTCTTCAAATCCATTTCTTCCGCTGCTTCTCCATTGGAAGCAGTTTCTTCTGCCAGAGGACGCTCCAAGTCGGCAGCGACAAAGAGTGGAGTAGTTGCTCGAGTGCTGGGCGCAATACTAGAGGCGGGAGCAAACGCAGAGGCGTCTTGGACCGTCAAGGCCAGGAACGCAATGGCGGAACTAAATTTCATCTTGTAGGAATCTGTTCTATATATTCTGAGGAATAAAAATAATGGCTGGCACAGGTTCTTTAGTTAGGGCCAATGCATCAATGCATGCATGCATTGCCCTCTATCTTGCCGTTGTTGTTTTCGGTGGCTTGCATTGGTTGAAGTTTTGAATGTGACGGATGACACCCCATCAGATCGAATGACGTGTCCCCACATTTCATTGGTGCCGGATCTTTTGCATCATCCACGTATTTTCAAATCTACTTATTTATTTATTGTTTGCTCATCCATCAATTGCATAGGATAAGGGGGTTTAGAGTAGGGAAATTATCTACGGAAGCCAGCCGGGGCCAGAATTAAGCAAAGAACAGTCGAAATTCAGGACTAGGTTCTGTGGGATCAGGGGCAAGAAATGGAGGACCATTACGGGGGGCAAAGGGTTTGGCTTTGCGGGACCCACGGAGACATAAATGGGTAGCTTTCACAAGGGCAATTGAGATACGGGTCTGCATGAAGAACATCATTTGAGAGTAGGAAAATTGCATTAGTAATGGGGGGGGGTTTAGAGTAGGGAAATTATCTATTGCATTGGCTACTATCGATATCTGAAATCTGAAATCTGAAGACGACCACAACCAACCCAACAGCCTCCAACACTATCATCAGGATCAGGACCATGATGCGTTATTTATTGTTACTATCCTTGGCTACTCTAATAACATGCGGAGTCTCTGCTTTCCAGCCAGCCCTATCATTATCACATCATCATCATCATCATAATGAGATCTCCAGCAGCCTATTGCAAGCATCGTCCAACTCAGTCCACGACACGCTCAAGGAGTTGGACATCACACTCCCACCGGCTCCTCCTGCGGCGGCCAATTACTTGCCCTGCCAACGATCGGGAAATTTATTGTTTTTGAGTGGTCACATGCCACTACTGGAAGATGGCACCACATTAATCACGGGAGTCTGTCAATCGGATGACGATATTAATGCCGGTTACAAGGCGGCGCGACAAGTTGGATTGAATCTAATTGCCACTTTGAACAAAGAGCTGGACGGAGATTTGGATCGTGTCGCACAAATTGTCAAACTATTTGGCATTGTCCAATCCACACCCGACTTTAAATCGCAACACAAAGTGTTGAATGGATGTTCCGATTTGATGGGACAGGTTTTTGGACCAGAACGAGGGGTGCATTCCCGATCCGCCATTGGAACCAATGCATTGCCGTTGAATCTCATGGTGGAAATTGAAGCCATTGTGGAAATTACAGCAGAAGAAAAAGAAGAATAAACAATATATCCTACTAGCTAGTTAGCTAGTTAGCTAGTAGTGAGATTCTACAGAACTAGATAATGCTGCAGTGCGTACCGTATGGGGAAGGTTTGGTGTGTGTATGATATGCAAGTAGTTATGATCTGATGAGGAAGGTTTCATCACTCCTCGATATATTGCAGCCATCCGTCAATCCAGAACCACGTCCCGCGCTCCTTGATACTGTCCATAAAGGCAGCTCCCGGTAGATAGCCTGTATCCAAGCGGGTGCAGCTCCTCCGTCGAACCCAAGCTGGCGACATGGACCCCTTGTATTTGAGAACGGTGTAAGGAAACAGTGGTGATTGAACAATGGTCTCCTTATCGAGCTCTTGTACCATCTTGGGCGGTAGATTCACCACAACATGGGTGATGAAATAGTGCCACACTTGCTCACCACAAACATCATCCAGCAGGTACGGTTGGAATTGCGCAAGGTTCTTGCCCACCATCGTCACTTGATGAAACTTGAGCTTGACCACGTCAATAACAGCCAGTGCTGCTCGAGGCAACACTTGCAGTTTCTCCTTGTAGTTTCCAACCCAAACAGTAGCATAATCCGGTGGATCCTGCTGCATCATACATTGCAGTTTGATCTGTTTGTGTAGAATATAGTCACATTGTTTCAGATGTTCCTTCAGTCCGAGCAACTCAAACCAAGATGCCAACATGTCCACATTTTTGGAAGCTGCAATGCAGGATGACAAGGGCTTTTCTAGTAGGGACGAGAATCGTAATGATGATGAGCCAAAGTCCAGAAATTTGTATACTTCGAGCCATTCCTTGGGATCTCGGTCTGGGAAATCAAGAATGACAACAACGTTGTTCTTGGAGTTCTTGTCCAGATGGTCATTCGATTGTGCATCATCGTGATCACCAACGACATCATCAGGGGTTTGATGCTTTTCCTGTTGCGTAATGTATTCGTCCAGCCGCGCACACAAAATGGATCGGTAGTGGAAGAACTCGATGCCTCCGACTCGGACCACCACATCTGGATCATGAGACTCCAATCGGCGAGGTGTTCGTACTACGATAGAGCTCCAATCAAGCAGGCCAACTGCATCATTTTCATCGTTGTCATGCATTGGCACAGCCGTGGCGAAGGATACTACACGCTCCGCATCAAATGATCCTCAAGAAGTGGACAGTTTGAGCAGTGTACGGTAGTTAATCAAAGATGGGGTAACATAAATCTCTAGATACATGACTGGTTACCCGATCTACCTGATTGAGTCCAGTCGGTGCCAACAGGAAAGGTTTGATTTGTTGCATTTTAATCCCCTAACGCCCTTCATGATGGTAGCGAAAATTTGGAATATTGAATGGATTATACCAGGGAAGTGGGGTAAAACAGTCTCAGACATGGATTCAGTCGTGACTGTTTGGCGTCCAAAAACCAAGATCTTGTTCTCACAATTTAATAAAACGCGAAGCCAAAGCGAAACAGACCATCCAGAACATCCGACGCTCTGTCCCCTTCCTCATCTTGGCTCTCTCTAATAATCCATAGTAAATCCGAGTTTACCCACAATCAACGCAACCCAAAACAAAGCAACATGACGACAAGTCAAACAAAAGAGGGACGGAGCCACGAGGAGCAAAGCACCCCGATGAGTTTCATCTCTGTGACGGAGGGGTGGGCGCCAGAAGAGGAAGACACGCCACGCAGGTTCAAGTCTATAGACCCCGACGTGACAGTGGTTGTTGGTGGCACAACAGAGTTTTTCCATTACAAGTCCATACTTTGCACTTGTGACTTCTTTGACAAAATGTTGTCCAGCAGCATGAAAGAATCGGAAACCAGCAAAATTGAGTTCCCAGATGGAGATCCTGAGGCATGGTTGGAGGTGTACAAGTTCTTGGATCCTTTCAACTACATTGCATTGGAACAACCTGTATCATCTCTCCTCACAGATGAGAATGTGGAGGTGCTGATCCCCTGGTTTGACTATCTTGGCATGGAACAACATCTTCATCTGTGCGACCAAAAGCTGCATTTTCGAATCATGAAGAGCCATCAACCACCATCCCATGACATGTGGGAACGATACAAGGACTTGCCCACATACCCCAAGACCAAACAGGCCATCATTGATGTAACAAAATTCTCCTCTCATGATATTATCAGGAATGCAACAACCACCAAGAAGGCTGATTTCGAAGAACTCAAGAAGTTCTTATTGGATGACGAGTGTGGAGAAGCTATTTGGAGCTACTTTACTTCTACAGTTGTCAATCTGCCACAGGGAATGTTGGATGATCTGGACCGAAAGACAATCATCGCATCTCCGATGTTACAGCACATTGTTGGAATGTGCCCAAAGCCAATTCCAAGAGCTGCTTCGTCGTGGTCGCGCTCTGTGGCATCCAACCCACCTGCAAAGACACAGTCCTTTCTTGATTCATCCTCTGACGAGGATTCGTCCGAACCTCCGAGGAGGAGAGCTCCCGCTCCCCCTCCACCAGCAGCAGCAAGAATGCGATCGTTCTTTGACTCCGACTCGGACTCCGACTCGAGTTAATTGCTGTCTGCATCGTTTAGCTTTTTATACTAGAACAGAAACATCGATGGGTTACCACCCCGAAACAACAACACAGAATTGGGGCGCGTGTGTGGCGTTGCTTCTGTCCGTGTTGCCGTCCGTGCTCCTCTTCGTCCTTTCGTCTGGCGTCTCGGAGGTCTCCCGCAATAACTCTTGCCAAATTGAACCACATCAATCCCACAATTTAGAAACTCCCAACAACTACGTACCCTATAGCTTAGTTCCAGCCGCATTCAGAATTATAAGTGTCATGACTGGTTTTGGATGGTCCCCTCGGATCTTGCGTCGGTTGGACTGGGTGTCATTTGTGCCAATGGAGCAGAGGCTGGATTTTCCTCCGCGACGAGAGATAGGATTGTGTAATGGTAAATCTTCGCTCAATGGCGTCGTCACCATCGATCGTGACTTCCGGAGCACTTGACAAGAGACGCCACAAGATGCCGGAAGACGGGCCATGGCAGAGCCTCTGTACGGAGGGAATATGATTGATAACTGCTTCTTCGTCCATGCACTCTTCCAGGCGATGGCCCTTTTGGGTCGGCCTTGTTGGCACCAGGAGCCAGAAGCCAGGAGCAAGGAGGGCTTGGGCTCCTCTGAAACGTAAGATTTGGACGAATCCGATTTGATTTCGAATGGATTATCGTTCTTGATCCTCTTTGACAACCGGGCTCATCTGACAAGAGAATTCACAAGGGTGCCTCCTGGAGTGAGCTCCTGCTACGGGTACTCTAAAATCCACAAGAGAAACGTGTGTGCTCGTGCTTTGAAAAAGGATCCGTCGTGATTCTCGTCGAAGCCGAGCCACCACAACAAATCCACATGAACTCGGCGCATACCGCACCATCTCGAATCGAACTAGATCTAGATCCATTGGACTTCTTCGAGAAAGTAATACGCACAGAAATAGAGCGAGATAGCAAGCGCCTCTCTAGCTATAGTCGCGTTTGGAGGACTACCTGGAGGCATGCCAAAACTCCAGGGCCATAACCTAAACATCCCCGGGTGCCAAAGGCTGCAAGGCAAAACACAAAACTGTGGCCTCCGCCAAGCAGCTCGTAGAAGTCAACGCGGCAGGAGATGGCTAGTATTTTTAGCTGTCAGTTGTAAGGATCACCATGGTGTCATCCTCGAAATGCATGGCTTGAGATGCTTTAGTCAATCCTTTGGCATCGATGGGAGAAGCTACGAAGCGTCCTTAGAAGCTCTGTGGTAGTCATGCTTCGGCGGGTGAGGAGGGGCTATTTCGATCAAGACGAGAGATGCATGCAGTGAAGCACAAACAGACCAACAATTTCTTCCTCCGCGGATCAGAGCCTCTCTGCAGAATTGGATGGACAAGGACCTATCACTTTGGCTGGGCCCTCTAGGCGAGTAGATCAAACTATTCGAGCAACAAGGATGGTACCGTTTACCTCAAACAACATTCAACTAAATAGCTGGGCTTAGCTTTCATCTTTGAATTATCATGGCCAAAACATCATGAATAGCATTGACTTTGTTGCGAAACCAAGCACCACAGGGTTGCCCACTGACATTTCAGCCCTTTACCGAGGAAGTAGCGTTACTCCCCAGCTCAACATCCACAGAATCTTTGTTGCTACCACTTCTGAGAAAGACTTTCCACGGACCACTCTCTGGGCCAGACACTTCTGCTCCAGCTGAGGCATAGCATCCTGGATGCAACAATCCAGACACATAGGTGTCATCAATAGCAAGCCCATTGCTATCAATGTAGTGTCCACTAACATGGGAACTGTCCACAATCACGCTGCCTTCGAAATGCAGTTTGCTGTACTCATAGAGAGAATTACCAAAGTACCAGAGGTCACCAGATACCTTAGCTCCCATCATGCGAGCATAGTAGGCAAACATGGGTGTTCCACAAAGAACCAAAACAAGCCAGTTCCCCCCATTGAAAAACCAAACATGGTTGATATAGATGCCAAACAAGCTTTGCTGAGCATAATTTGGAAGGATCAACAGCAAGCTTTCAACAAGTCGACACAAAAGAACCCACAGGAACAATTGAAGGACAACAGCTGCAGCCAGCCCACACGAAGTAATGGCACTGGAAGAACTTTGTGTGGCAGCAAGGCTAATCTCATAGGCAGGGATGAAAGAGGCAAAGACCACCCCATTGCGTAGAAGCTGCACTGCTTCAGAAAGGAACAAAGCCATAATCAATCTACTAGGCTTCCATGTCTTGCCGGAGGATTGGTTCAAGTTGTAGACATTGTCAGACACATCAGATCTTGGTGGGATCATTGATTTCAATATCTTGACACCAGCATGGAGATTGGCATTGTAACCAACACTGCTGTTGATGATCTCAATCTTGGAGTCCCCACGTTTGCTGAAGTCAAAGAATATGGTTGCAACAAATGACTTGCGGACCTTCACAAAATCAACCTTGGAAGGGAAGAAGATGAAGTATGGTTGGTTCAGGTCTGATTCAATATCAACATCAAGACCATGAAGGTAAAGGATGATTGTCCAGAATCTTGACTGGCCAAAGAAAGGAGTAAGAGCCCAAGCAGAAACATAGAAGTGGAAGTCGCAAGCCCAATTTGTTGCCCGCTGGTAGTATGAACCTTCATATTCATCTGATGGATCTCGCTTACCAATCAGAAGCCATTTGAGGGCAATACTTGTGAGGAGGGAAAGGAAGGATGTCAATGGAAACAAGAGAAACCAATGAAGAATGCCACCATATCTCCATGAGGGCAGGACACTGCTGAGTGCAAAATGGACCAGGGAGGATAGTGCAAAAAAGTGGTACGCCTCAGAGATTGCCCAGACCATCTTGAAGACATCTAACAATGACTCTGCAAAGAAGTGTGATTCTTGATGCTGCTCAAATGGGCCAGCGTTATAAGCTGGGTTTCCTCTTGCAAGGACACCATTTGGTACCAAGGCTCCCTCTTCAACAGCAGAGAGTTTCTCCACCTTGCTGCCATCTCCAATCATTGCCCCAGGGCTAATCATGCCAGAGACCTTGCAGTTCTTTCCAACAGCAATGGGATATAATGTCATCTTTGGGCTTGCCTCTTCTTTTGACTGTGAGAACTTTCTGCACTTCAAAGGATGCGCAATCGTAGCATTGCTGCCCACCTTTACAAGGTCAAATTCCCGGATATAGGATTCAATTTTGGCGGACCAAGCCAAGTCAGCACCAAGCAGCCAGTAGACGATCCAAATATACTTGGTATCTAGAAGGAACTTTCCAACAATAGACTCCCAGACTTCCACAAGTCTGTCCACAAACCACCAACGGATGTAATCCGATGACAGGAGCCCAAATTGCCTTGGTAGGTACTTCCCAACAACACTAACCTTGAATAGCACCACAACCAATGAGAATGATAGGAGAAAGAGGGGAAAGGTCATAGGCATCAGCGCCCAAAATATGTGGCACTCTTCATCTTCAGCAGAGGCACATTGGTCCAGTACCCAGGATACTAGGAAGTAGGAAGGAACACCTGAGATCAAGACTAAGAAGAGGATCAGAGCTGATCCAAAGGATTGGATAACTCCAAGTTGTACCTTGCTCAGCGTAGATACAGATGAGTTGCTTGGAAAGTCAGGGTCATCATAGAGATTTTGCTTAGGAAAGCACTTTCCCTCAGATGAGGCCAGGAACTCTTGGAGCTCCATGGGTGTTGTATAGAGTTGTTCAAAGTTCACTGGAAGCACTACATGGAACTCCTCCTCCACACTGTTCCTCAGCTCAGCACTCTTGAGTGATGTCATTCCATTCTCAGCCCATGACTTAGATGTATCAACCTCTGAACCAAAGATGGAGATGACCAAGCTTTGGAAGTCCTTGGGTGAATTTGTAGAGTGAGGCTCAAATGGATTCAACCGTTCCGAGGATTCAAAATCTGTTGCCTCTGTGACAACACTGCAAGGCTGTGCCATCAGGTTCCCTTTAGAGCTTTTTTCGACGACCCCTTCCTTTTCCACGGGAATGGCACCATCATGTCGCTGAAACCTTAGGATCACAGAAGATGTCTTCCAATCATTCGCAACAGTCGTTTGCCGAACCTCACTCCTCTTCAGTTTGCCTGATGTTGTCTTTGGAGTCACAGCCGGTTTCAGAACAACAACCTCCGAGACAAACAGCCCATGTGTTTGGGAGACATGGTTAGCGATCTGAACAGCCAAGTCTTTGTTTGCTGACTTGTCAAAATCCTTTCTTGGCTCGGCAGTAATGCCAATACTGTCTTCTCTGTACTGAAAGGCAGTTGTTCTTCCTGGACGAACAATATGCCCAAATGTTGCATCAACAGAAAGCTCCACATCTGTTGGGTAGTAGTTCTTGCCATTGACGATGATGACATCTTTGACTCTGCCAGTGACATAGAGCTGCCCATCAACCACCTTGCCCAAATCACCAGTGTCAAGCCAGGTTCCATTATAATTGGGGAGGACATTTGAAAATGTGGATCTGGTCAGCTCTGACTGGCCAAAGTATCCAGCAGCAACACGGGGAGACTGGACCCAGATGGTTCCAACCTGTCCCTCCTCCACCTCTTTTCCATCCTGGACAATGCGAATCTTTAAGGTTGGGGAGTCTACCTTTCCACAGCATACAAGGTCTTCGGTGTCGGGGACTGCAGGTCCTCCTGTGAGCCACACCACTGACTCGGCAAGGCCATAGAGATTGTAAATATTCTCAGGCTTCACAGCTAGGGTTGTAGTCACTTCCTCCACAACACTTTGCTGCGTAGGTTCAGCACCAAACATGGCATACTTCACACAACTCCAATCGTATTTTCTATTGGCTTGCTTCAATCGCTTGAGGAGCAGTGCATAGGCAAAGTCGCCACATTGAGAAGAAGCTGCAACTGCTTCGGAAGGAACAAATCCATAATCAATACTAGGCTTCCGTGCCTTGGGATGGTTCAAGTTGTACACATGTCAGGCACTCAGATCTTGGTGGGATCATTGATTTCATATCTTGACACCAGCATGGAGATTGACATTATACCAATCTGCTGTTGATGATCTCAATCTTGGAGTCCCCACTTTGCTAAGTCAAAAAATGGTTGCAACAAATGATTGCGGACCTTCACAAAATCAACCTTGGAAGGGAAGAAGAGAGTATGGGTTGTTAGGTTTGATTCAATATCAACATCCAGGCCATGAAGGTAAAGGATGAGTCCAGATCTGACTGGCCAAAGAAAGGAGAAGAGCCCAAGAGACCGAAGTGGAAGTCCAAGCCCAATTTGTTGCCCGCGGTAGTATGAACTTCATATTCATCTGATGGATCTCGTTACCAATCAGAAGCCATTTGAGGGCAATACTTGAGGAGGAAGGAAGGATGTCAATGGAAACAAGAGGACCAATGAAGAATCCACCATATCTCCATGAGGGCAGGACACTGCTGAGTGCAAAATGGACCAAGGAGGATAGTGCAAAAAAGTTGTATGCCTCAGAGATTGCCCAGACCATCTTGAAGACATCCAACACTGACTCTGCAAAGAAGTTTGATTCTTGATGCTGCTCAAATGGGCCAGCGTTATAAGCTGGGTCCTCCCTGCAACACACATTTGGTACCAAGGCCCCCTCTTCAACGCAGAGAGTTTCTCCACCTTGCTGCCATCTCCAATCATGCCCCAGGGCCAATCATGCCAGAGACCTATAATGAAAACTTCCGCTCGATCGCCCACCATTGACCCTAACCCTAGCCAGATTCAAAAACATCGTGGCAATGGTGTTCTGAGCATCATCAGGTGATCGCATGTTCCTTGCAGATGCAGCAGTTCAGGGAATGCTGAGGCTTCCTCAGAGATTGCTGAGCGGGAACGGAAGATCGCGTAGTTCCGACAAGCAACGACAGCCTCGACGAAAGAGAGAAGACCAGTCCAAGCATAAATGCGTAAATGTCCCAAAGCAAAGGTTGGAAGTATAGGGAGATCTATGGCTGAAACTGAGTTAACATGGTCCCGCCGTTCCACGATGACTTTGAGTTTCGGAAGACGGCATGACGATAGCTGATCATGAAGTTGAAAGATCTGACGTCGCGGCTGGAGGGAGATACGCAGGACTGTTGGACGGCGGCGGTTGCCACTTTTGCCACTGTCGACGATCCACGATGGGAGGTTTGATCTTCAGGAGACACCATGGCGACAAGGTTGGCACTGGAAGGCACCGGCTCATTGAACGCCTTTTCGAACGAAAGAACGAGCGAACGACAATCGAACGAACTTGGAAGATTGAAGGACGATAACTAGCTTGCTCGACCGAGCGCGAAGGAATATCACCAACAAAGAACAACGGCGGAGATGCTGTCAATCGCTGCGGCTCCACGACAAGGCAGCCAGCAACATCAACAACAGAATCGACCACAAGAGACTAGCTAGCTGCTAGCTAGTAGAGATCTCGAGCCATTAACTATGACAATGTGGCATACGGCGCCTGCAAACAATGACGAAGGTACACACTGGTTTTTCGACAACACATATATCTGTACCACACGGTAGCGGCAAGGAGGCCGTGAAGCACACATTGGAGCTTGATACTATCTAGCTAGTTGGGCCCCACTCATGAGAACTCAGATTTCCAGTAGCTGAACCTAGGATGGGGCATTCTGATAGTTAAGGATGATGTACATGTAGACCATTTGTTTGCTCCTCAGTAGTAGTTGTTGTTGGTTGCTGCAACTGGTGACAATTCCGTGTGGGCAGAGTCTACTGTCCGGACATATAATATAATCAAAACACTCAAACAACCAAACAATTTCTTTCCTATAGCTTTTAGCTTAGGCTAGTGCAGCAGTGACCTTGGTGCCCACATCTTCTCTTCTAAGAAAGACTTTCCATGGACCATTTTCTGGACCAAACACTTCTGCTCCAGCTGAGGCATAGCATCCTGGATGCAACAATCCAGACACATAGGTGTCATCAATGGCAAGCCCATTGCTATCAATGTAGTGTCCACTAACATGGGAACTGTCCACAATCACGCTGCCTTCGAAATGCAGTTTGCTGTACTCATAGAGAGCATTTCCAAAGTACCAGAGGTCACCAGATACCTCAGCCCCCATCATGCGAGCATAGTAGGCAAACATGGGTGTTCCGTAGAGAAGCAAAACAAGCCGATTCCCAACATTGAATAACCAAACATGGTTGATATAGATGCCAAAGAAGCTCTTCTGAGCACAACCTGGAAGGATCAACAGTAAGCTTTCAACAAGTCGAGACAGAAGAATCCACAGGAACAGTTGAAGGACAAAGGCGGCCGCAAGCCCACACGCAGTAATGGCACTGGAAGCACTTTGTGTGGCCGCAAGGCCAATCTCATAGGCAGGGATGAAAGAGGCAAAAAACACTTTAGCCCTCAAGGATTTCCTGGGAACTACCTTCACTCCCCCACTCAACATCCACAGAATCTTCGTTGTCATCAGTTCTGAGGAATACTTTCCATGGACCAGTTTCAGGCCCAGAGACTGCTGCTCCAGCCACAGCGAAGCATCCAGGATGAATCAGGCCTGACACATAAGTATCATCAATGGTGAGCCCATTGCAATCAATGTAATGACCATTCAAGCTGGAGCTGTCCACAATGACACTGCCTTTGAAGTGAAGCTTGCTGTACTCATAGAGAGCATTTCCAAAGTACCAGAGGTCACCATCCACCTCAGCTCCCATCATGCGAGCATAGTACACAAACATGGGTGTTCCATAGAGAAGCAAAACAAGCCAATTCCCCACATTGAATAACCAAACATGGTTGATGTAGATGCCAAAGAAACTCTGCTGAGCACGACCTGGAAGGATCAACAGCAACCTTTCAACAAGTCGGGTCAAAAGAACCCACAGGGACAGTTGAAGGACAAAGGCGGCAGCAAGCCCACACACAGTTGTGGCAACGGAAGAACTTTGTGTGACAGCAAGGCCAATCTCATAGGTAGGAATGAAAAAGGCAAAAATCACCACATTGAGAAGAAGCTGCAACACTTCTGGAAGGAACAAATCCATAATCAAACTAGGCTTCCGTGCCTTGCTGGACTGGTTCAAGTTGTACACACTGTCAGGCACGTCAGATCTTGGTGGGATCATTGATTTCATTATCTTGACACCAGCATGGAGATTGACATTATATCCAATGCTGCTGTTGATGATCTCAATCTTGGAGTCCCCACATTTGCTAAAGTCTAGAAAAATGGTTGCAACAAATGATTTGCGGACCTTCACAAAATCAACCTTGGAAGGGAAGAAGACGACGTATGGGTTGTTGAGGTTTGATTCAATATCAACATCCAGGCCATGAAGGTAAAGGATGACGGTCCAGAGTCTGGACTGGCCAAAGAAAGGAGCAAGAGCCCAAGTAGCCGCGCGGAAGTGGAAGTCACAAGCCCAATTTGTTGCCCGGCGGTAGTATGAATCTTCATATTCATCTGATGGATCTCGTTTACCAATCAGAAGCCATTTGAGGGCAATACTTACGAGGAGAGCAAGGAAGGATGTCAATGGAAACAAGAGGAGCCAATGAAGAATACCACCATATCTCCATGAGGGCAGGACACTGCTGAGTGAAAAATGGACCAAGGAGGATAGTGCAAAAAAGTTGTATGCCTCAGAGATTGCCCAGACCATCTTGAAGACATCCAACACTGACTCTGCGAAAAAGTTTGATTCTTGATGCTGCTCAAATGGGCCAGCGTTATAAGCTGGGCTCCCCCTGGCAACCACAGCATTTGGTACCAAGGCCCCCTCTTCAACGGCAGAGAGTTTCTCCACCTTGCTGCCATCTCCAATCTTGGCCCCAGGGCCAATCATGCCAGAGACCTTGCAGTTCTTTCCAACAACAATGGGATAGAATATCATTTTGGGGCTTTCCTCCTCGCTTGACTGGGAGAATTTTCTGCACTTCAAAGGATGTGCAATCGTTGCACTGCTGCCCACCTTCACCAGGTCAAATTCACGGATATAGGATTCAATCTTGGCAGACCAAGCCAAGTCAGCACCAAGCAGCCAGTAGAAGATCCAAATGTACTTGGTTTCCAGAAGGAATTGTCCAACAAAAGATTCCCAGACTTCCACAAGTCTGTCCACAAACCACCAACGGATGTATTCCCATGATAGGAAACAATGTTGCCTTGGTTCATACGTCCAAACAACAATGACCTTGAATAGCACCACAACCAATGAGAATGATAGGAGAAAGAGAGGAAAGGTCAAGGGCATCAGGCCCCAAATTATCTGGCACTCTTCATCTTCATCCTTGGCACATTGGTCCAGTATCCAGGATACCAGGAAGTAGGAAGGAACAGCTGAGATCAAGACTAAGAGAAGGATCAGAGTTGATCCAATGGCTTGGATAACTCCAAGTTGTACTGTGCTCAGCGTAGATACAGATGAGTTGCTTGGAAAGTCAGGGTCATCATGGAGATTTTGCTTAGGAAAGCACTTTCCCTCAGATGAGGCCAGGAACTCTTGGAGCTCCATGGGTGTTGTATAGAGTTGTTCAAAGTTCACTGGAAGCACTACATGGAACTCCTCCTCCACACTGTTCCTCAGCTCAGCACTCTTGAGTGATGTCATTCCATTCTCAGCCCATGACCTCGATGTGTCAACCTCTGAACCAAAGATGGAGATGACCAAGCTTTGGAAGTCCTTGGATGAATTTGTAGAGTGAGGCTCAAATGGATTCAACCGTTCCGAGGATTCAGAATCTGTTGCCTCTGTGATGCCACTGCAAGTTTGTTCCATCAGGTTCCTTTTAGACCTCTTCTCCGGGACCCTTTCTGTTTCCACTATATTGGCACCATCATGTCGCTCAAACCTTAGGATCACAGTAGATGGCTTCCAATCACCAGCAACAGTCGTTTGCCTAACCTCACTCCTCTTCAGCTTGCCTGATGTTGTCTTTGGAGTCACAGCCGGTTTCAGAACAACAACCTCCGAGACAAACAGCCCATGTGTTTGGGAGACATGGTTAGCGATCTGAACAGCCAAATCTTTGTTTGCTGACTTGTCAAAATCCTTTCTTGGCTCGGCAGTAATGCCAATACTGTCTTCTCTGTACTGAAAGGCAGTTGTTCTTCCTGGACGAACAATATGCCCAAATGTTGCATCAACAGAAAGCTCCACATCTGTTGGGTAGTAGTTCTTGCCAGTGACGATGATGACATCTTTGACTCTGCCGGTGACATAGAGCTGCCCATCAACCACCTTGCCCAAATCACCAGTGTCAAGCCAGGTTCCATTATAATTGGGGAGGACATTTGAAAATGTGGATCTGGTCAGCTCTGGCTGGCCAAAGTATCCAGCAGCAACACGGGGTGACTGGACCCAGATGGTTCCAACCTGTCCCTCCTCCACCTCTTTTCCATCCTGGACAATGCGAATCTTTAAGGTTGGGGAGTCTACCTTTCCACAGCATACAAGGTCTTCGGTGTCGGGGACTGCAGGTCCTCCTGTGAGCCACACCACTGACTCGGCAAGGCCATAGAGATTGTAAATATTCTCAGGCTTCACAGCTAGGGTTGTAGCCACTCCCACAATTGACTTTGGAGGTTAACCAAACATGGCATACTCTACACACTCCAATCGATTCTTGTTTGCTTCAATCGCTTGAGGAGCAGTGCATAGGCAAAGTTGGGGGCACAGGTATGAGTTGCCTGGTATTTCTCAATCAATCAGCCCAAAGAAGTGGTTTTGTTAGGAAGTCGAGGGGTGAAGACATAACAAGCTGGTCACCAGCATATAATGTTGCCATGAAACCGCCTACAAGTCCCATGTCTATTTAATACCACCGTTGAGTTCAGTAACAAGAGTTAGAATATTGGGAGATGCAACCATGCCGTACATAATTTCTCTGGTACCTACCATGATATTGAGGTACCCATGACGCAGTCAATGACGTTGGAGTCAAGTTGATTGAAGCACCAATTTCCCTGCAATTTTCTGATCTGCCAGGTTGTGGTGAGTGATCATGACGCCTTTGGGCTTACCAGTGCTGCCGGAGGTGTACTGGATGAAACAGATATCATTTGGTTCTCCCATGTATGCCACATAATAGTCTTGCTTTTTTGAATTCCTCTTTTTGATTGAGAGTTTGTCGGTCCCAATCCACTTGACACCTGTTTTGTAAATGATACTAGCTGCTGCCATCCCAGTAGCAAACATGTTAGTCGAGAGAGCAAATTTGGCTCCAGCATCTTCTGCAAAGCCATGGAATTTTGGCATTTCTGTTTTGAGCTGATTTGGATTGGGTGGATAGATAGAACAAGGGATGACTCCGATTTTCATGGCACCAAACATTCCAGCCAAGAACTCCAGGCCAAAGGGATATGCCACCATGACCCGGTCTCCCTTTTGACATCCCAGCTTGAGGAGACGAGCTGCCACAGCATTGGATGCATCCTCCAACTGCTTGAATGTCATCTTGTTCTGTTCCTCACACTTCTTGTCCACCCAGATGAAGACAACCTTATCAGGAGTCTCCGTTGCATGATGGCTGAGGGCTTCCAGGATGGTTGAGAACGACATTGCTGTTCTTTCTCCTTGTTGTTGATTCAGTTGGTCTGATGGCTGTTGGGGATCATCTTGACCATCTTCTTTGGGCAATCTCATTTCCAGTGGCTGGTATGCTTCAATTCTTGGCTCTAGCACTCGTCCTTTATCATCCTACGAAAGTATGTGCTCGTCTTTGCTCGCTGCTCGATATCGTGCGACGGAACACAAACCATGCAAGGAAGCAAAGAACCCCGTTTATGCAGTAGAGAGCAACTAACTATGCCAGTGGCTGTGTTGGGCGTTGATGGGCTACACAGGAAGACGCCCAAGAAGTTTGCTTATGGTGTAAAACAATGCAGGTCTAGCCAGCTACTGAGTACTAGCTAGTACAGTACTCGAGTACTCGGAGTAAGAAGTAAGTGTTTGTAGTTTCATTTTGAGGTCACGTTAGGACGCGTGGTCTGGTTGGCACATACTAGTAGGGGGCAAAATTATTAATTTAGCAAAAGCAACCCCGCTTTGTTAAGTACCAGTACCGTACGGTGTTCCCAAGGACCTCCTAGGTGATCAACAAAAGACAGGACTTTAAAAGCACGTCGATGCCGCAACAGTTTCACACCAACTGCACTACTGTAAAAGTCTTGCCAAACCTTCGAGGCATCTTGGAATCTAAAAAAGATGCCTTGACAGTTAGACGGAGCCGTTCAGCAGCAGTCATTCACACTTCGAGCAGCTCTTGAGCTCTGCACACTTACTTCGTGATTTATTTGGGAGAAGGTTTAGAAACGGAAGCCAGATTTCTGGGGAATTAAGGCTTTAGTCGCTTTTCCGACTGGATCTCTGCTTGTTACTCCCGACTTGCGGACTCAGCTGGACTCTTGCTTGGTTGAGTGACCCATTCGCTACGACAAAGAAGCCTCGTGGATGAGCAAACTTGCCCGAATGTAGGCCTGCATTGTATTTGATAGCGTTTTTTGTAAAAGTGTCTGTGAAAAGGCGAATATTTGTTTTGGGCTGCAATTTTTCTATTGGATTAGATCGGATTGGATTGAATTGAATTGGATTGCATTGAATTCCAGTTTACTATACAAATAACAGTACTAGTTGGATTCCAATTCAGTCCAATTCAATCCAATCCAATGATTCCACTTTTAGGTCCAGTAGAGCTACTAGACTATAGCAAGATCATGTCAATACGGGTCTATAGAGGTTGTAATTACAACCTCTCCTCCAGACTAGGATCCAGGCAAAGGCAATGGCCCTGGTTATACCAGAGAGGCCTGCTGCATGTATCACAGACAGACCTACTTCCATCCAATTTACCCGGGCGGGAGGGAAGGGAAAAAGGAAAATTGGTGTCGGGGGGCTGCAACTCTGGTTCAGAAAAAGTGAACCTGATTTGTAGCCGCCCGATTAGTAGTCCTTCTAGCTAGTCATCAACACCACATAGGCACACCACCTGTGCACCCGACACTTCGGTCCACCACCTCATCCTTGGATGGGTGGCTCTCCCGGATTCCTGTCCGTCAGTCTCCCTTATGGTCGGCTCCCTGTGAACTCATACTCTCCGTTCTGTAGAATCTCTTCATTCCCTGTCTGGGAAGGTGGGCAATTCCACTTTTAGGTCCAGTAGAGCTACTAGACTATAGCAAGATCATGTCAATATGGGTCTATAGAGGTTGTAAACCTCCCCTCCAGACTAGGATCCAGGCAAAGGCAAAGGCAATGGCCCTGGTTAGGGTTTAAATTACTCATTTAGCTTAACAAGCTATTGGTCACGGAGTGACTTTATTGACACGGGCAAGTGGTGGGGTAGATCCCCACCTAGCTGAGTCGTCATCTACTTGTTTGCCCAATCAACATGACCTCATCCACTGGCCCAACGTGAGCAACACCAAGTAGACAGATGCCCTGGGTAGGGGGGTGACACATTGATGGGAACCTGCAGCGCAAAACTGGGTTACAGGGGCTTACCAGGATTTTTGTCGGTATGAAACCATTATCACCAAAGGGGCCGTGAGGACCAGTTTGATTGCCAGACCAAAGAGTGCTCGCCAGTAAGTGTGTCTGGTGATCAGTCCCAAGCTGTGGCAAGTGCCTTGGCATGCAAGCAAGATGCCAGCAGAGCCCGTAGGAGGTGGTACTCCTCAGGCTGGACCAGAGCAGGGTTAACCCATCCAATGCACCAAAATTGTTAGATAGAGGCCAACAAGCAGGCAGAAGATGGGGTCAAATGACACATGGCAGTCTGTGGTTCCCAGGAGAGGAGGCACAGTGGCTGCTGGAGTGTTGTGGCTGTTCGAGGGTTGTTTGAGTCAATAGAAGGAGGATAAGGGGCACTGATGGGAGTGGGCTGGTGCAGGGGCAGGAGGGAGATCCTGTTGGTGTTGGAGTGTTGTTGTAGGAGTTGGGATGTAGCATGGTTGATGGTGTGTTGTAGGATAGAGGCGTGCTCTGTTAAGGGTGAGAACAAAGGCATCCTCCCTGATAGGGTAGGGTGTGATTCGAGTGTGATCCTCAAGATGTGGCATGCTCTAGGAGCTGTTGGCTGATCATCTGGGAGTGGTGTTGTGTAGTCTTCGGAGTGTTGTTACGGCTCAGTGTAAATACTGTTGCTTGAGTATACCATACACATTGGTATAGGGTCAATAATTGAATGTATTGAGACTGGTCTCAGGGTCCCTGTGTAAGCAAAGTGTACATAGTGGCTGGGGCCGATGGTGCGATAAGTCAATTTTCTGGATACTGATGTATTGATATATTAAGGGACTCTCCGCCGATAAGGACAACTGTGGTGATGTTGGACCTGAGGAATAGCTCGGTTGTGGTTCGTGTTTGTGTGCGAACTTTCGGATGATGTAGTTATGTGCATTGCGAATCCGGGGTAATTGGATCTGATTTTGAAAGATCACGATGGTTTTGTAGATAGGGTTGAAGTAATTTGGTGTGTTGCTTTGTTTTTGTTTTCCTTCGACACACTCCTGACGGACGGGCTGCTATATAACGTGGTCTTATCCGTGAATCGGTGTATAGATTATAGAGTGTGTAATGGAATCAAACAGAATGGGGTGGTGAATAGTGCATGCCGGATGTATTAGGCACCGTGTGCTGGGTGTGAGTTGTCGAGGAAGGCTTGCCTGGATATGGAGGTTTGTGTCTTTGTCTGGTGAATAAAGTCTGCGCACGTCATCTCTTAAGGACTGGGGGTGCAGTCATCGATAACTCCGTTGTGAAGGGGTGGCCGTGAATTTTTCCAATGTGCTGTGGAGTGGGGATGATTTGAAAGGTAATATAGAGATATAGTGGTGTGATGGCTGGATCTCTAACTGGTCCTGACTCGCGCTGTACGATACTATATCTTGTGTACGCAGATTGAGACGTGTGTACCTACGAAGCACAACTCCCGCTGACTCAGAGATATGTAGTTCTCTGGATTACTATAGATATATACTCCTCTGCTCATGATTCTAGTCGTGTACACCTTGTCATGGATGGGATCGTTGTCCGTTCGATCGGCTATCTTCGTCGTGCATTTCTACAGGTGAACAAATACTTTGCCTCTAGACGGAGACCTTTGTGCAGAGTCTCGGGCTGTGTGGTTGATAGGTATTGTGTGGGCGACTTATCTCGTGCGTGGTCGCATACTTCATGTCCGCATCTTCTGGGTTTTGCTGTGTGGGCTCCTCTCTCTGATTATTCCCAATGGTTCGTGGAGTGGTCGCAGACTAGCAGATGTCTCTTTATGCACTGTGCTGGCCTTCGCAACGGGATTCTAGTGATGTGGACTTCCATGCTTGCGTGATGGGGGAATTCACGTAGTCGAAGGATGGGACTGTTCATTGTATGGAAGTTGGGTCGTAGTTGTGCCATGGTCCATGTACTCTAGTGCCAATGTGTGTGATGATTAAATCGGCATATCTATCAACGTGGGGCGGTTAAGTATCATTTCATGAATGTCCAGGTCCAGCTGGTAGTTGTTTCTGGGTAGTGTGAATTATCAGATCCTGTAATACATCTATTGACAGCCGCTCGTCATCAACTGATGTGGGTTCATGACGAGAGCGTGGGTTACGAGAGATGAATTTGGTCTCGAGTGTTTGGACATCTGTGATCAGTTGCTCTTCTTTGTAACGCACGTCAAGCTCCACTATTGTAGTCGTCTCGCTACATGTAGTTTTGAAGAAAGTAGCGTCCTTGATTCGTCTTTGAGAGGGGGGATGCTTAGATAGCATAGATGAGGATGTTCGATGTCTCTGTGGCGTAGGATTGCAGTATGTTTGGTTGGAATTTTTTCTAATTGCTCTCTTGTATATTACAACAGGTTGGCTGCGTTGGTGTGGTTGAGTCAGTGATTGCTGTTCGCCCAACTGCGTGTCGGTTTCTTGTCGTCGGTTTTGTCAGCTCAATGCTATTGCGTCTGCCACTCCGTGTCTCTCCGTCCCTCTGACATAGAATTAGAATCGGATTTGCGGTTGGGCCCGCTCGCTGAGGACTTCCTTTTACTTACATATCTGTGTCTTCGTTACAGCAGAGTTAGTACCTCCATGTCCAGGGATATCTCCTAATGAATCGTCTTCTTAAGTTGATATGTCGAGATCTGTCTCCAGATGCTAACTTACCGGCACTCTGATCTGGAAAGGGATGGAATGTGGTACGCTGTGGGTTCTTCATCCGGAGCAAATAGATATCCGAACGCGGTCTATATGTGTGAACCAATATGTAGTTAAGTCGGATGTTAGTGCGTTGGAACCTCTCTCGTCTCACCTATTAGTCTCCCC